AGCTTGTTGTGCTTGAAGGACCACATGATCTAAGCCTTGAATCATCGAGTCCCGTCATGTTCTTCATCTCTTGGGAGGAGTGCGGCCACACACCCACATAAGGTGGCCTCACACTCCTAAAATACCCTCCAAAGTGAGAGTTTGGCTTCCATCTTCCAGTTAGACATGACCATAGCCTTGCTACACCTTGGAATTGGCATTTTGGACACAAAACTTGAAGGGTGTAAGACTACACACTCATGTGTGCGGCAGCACACTCCTGTGTGTGGTAGCACACGACCTTATGCGGCAACACACTCCCGTGTGCGACCACACACACACCCTAGGACCACAAACCCATTTCTAAGACCCTTAACTTGTACTACAACTAAGTATGGACCTAGAACACTTCATGAATGCAAGTATGGACCTTGAAAATACCTCAAAGGCACCCTCCATCATGAGTGTACGGCTGCACACCCCTTGGGCCGCACACCCATGGCCGCACACACCTTTAAGGTGGCCATACACCTCCCTCATGCAATCTTTAAGGTCCTAACACTTAGTGCAAGTAGTTCCAAGTCCCTAGAGTGGTTCTCTATCATATCTAGTAGTGAAATATCTTCGTTTGACTCCTTTATGTGTCATTACATGTTGATCAGGATCAAATCGTGTTCAAGGCTTCACTTGAACATCCCGCCTTCCGTATCGATCCTTCGTTCAAATCGCCCGAGGTGAGTTCATACCCCTACGTTTTTCTGAGTTTTTCATGTTTCCAGGGGAGGGGGGATACAAGCAAAAGTACAAGGAAACTTGTGCTCAAAATATATTATTTCGTTTAACATAATTATATTTTCAGTATGCTTTTAACATGGAAAACAGTTTTTACCAAACGATTAAGAAATCAACTCGTAGAAACAGTTTTCAAAACTAGGGTAACGAACTTGTGAATCATGTAGTAAAATGTATTATTTTATAAAGGATTCATGCAAATCATAAAAAGGATTTTCAGTATTATTACTTGTAAATTTGTTAGTCTAAGTTGGAGACACGTCCTTGCTAACACTCCCACTGAATCAGAGTGTAGGACTAGCATTTGTGACCAGAATCTCTTGTAGGGAGAGCGTGACTGTTGTGTATAGATCTATACGGGACTGACAATCCCGCACCTCGCTGCTAGCTACAGTCGGACCGGCAGGTCTACGGGTGAAAAAGTCATAAAGGATACCGGCCCCATTACGTGTCATATCCAGTCAGTTATGGTCATGAAACTCACAACCTAGATAGCAGGGATTTACTTTTGTAATAATGAATCAAGTGAACTAACCTCAAAGTAATAGCCGATTTGATTACTGGAGGGTATTAACAGTACCTTCAGGATTTAGTTCATCACGTTTTCTTTTTATTAGTTTTATTTATGTAATAAGGCTGATATACCTCACTGGGAGTAACCAGGGTTTTTAAAAGAAAACTATATTTATCGATATAAGTATGGTAGATACTTGTACACCTCAGTTTAGAACGGATAACCAACCATCAACTTTTAGGGTAAATATACGATTTTCCCGGGATAACTCAGCTTTTCATAAACGGATTGTTTAACAAGTAACCAACAGATATTCATATTCTTTCCACGACACCTTGGATCGTACATATGTTGTATGAATCTGGAACTCATGGAAGGAATGGATTTTCAAACACGCTTTTCATAAGAAAATATAGGATTTTCTTGAGGAACACTTTTCAAAAGGATCAAATAACATTTTTCCACCAAAACTAAATGCTAATGAACTCACCAGCTTTATGCTGATATTCTTTCAAAACTGCTTGTATGCTCAGGGAATTAGTAGACAGGTACTTCTAGGAGTTCGGAGAAGTCGGAGCGTTAGAGTCACGTCTTTCCATTTTTCTTTTGATATGAACAAAACTATGTATTAAACAATGTAAACCTTTTTCATATATGTATTCAATGTCTGGTTGTATTTACTATGCTTGCTATGTTACAACTGTTGTGATACTACGCATGACGTCAACCACCCCCGAACGTTTCCGTCGTTCCGGTCTGGGGGTGTGACATGCCTAGTCTCTGAAACTCGTTAAAGGATTGGAGATATGAGTTATTTAAATTGGACTAAAGATTTATCTTAGATTTTCATATTTTAGTTATTTTATATGTGTGATTTTTTTTGTTAACATATTTTTTCTTGATATTGGTGGAAGTGGATGTTTTTGGGCGGTAGTGGTAATAGTGGTTGGCTGAAAAACGGAAGGTGGGTATGGATGGCTCACAACGGTGAATGGGAGGAAGGTATGGTGCTGCTGATGTTCATTGTGGGGTCCATTTATGTAATTTGTATTAATATTAATATAAATTGAACTTTTACATAAAGAAAAACACAAAAAATGGTATAAAATTCATTTTATATGGGTCAGAGACCAACCATGATAGAAATTGAAGCCACATGGAACTTCCATGAGACCTAAACAAATTCAGGACTAAACTTGATATTTCTAAAAACCATAGGGACCATTTGTATAGATTATTCTTAAAATAATTATATGTCACGTTAAAAAAGTTACCATGAACCCTTAAGCTATATATAATGGAAGACAACACCGTTCCCATGAACGTGTGCCACATCACCTAGAGATTCAAGTCACTTTTTTATCACTGGGTATAGGAAATGTTGTTCAATGGTCAAGTTGCAAGTGAGTTTGTAATATCCTATTCCCGGTACGCATGATTTATTTGTTTTAAATCATATTATTTGGGCCTTGGACAATTTGGACTTGAATCTACTGTTGGGCTGGTTCAGCACAAAAAAGCACGAGGTGCTTTTATAGAGTGTGAGGCGTCCATACCCATGGGATGCCTGAGTTTTTAGGTTTTGTTGACTATTTAAAGGAACTTAGTTCTCTAGGGATGGATCATTCTCAGCCTTCATCGACCCTAGAGAGTGTTTTCAGCAAAACCTATCCTTTCTCTCTCATATTTGAGCTTAAAATCCTCTTGAGAGCTCATCTTTATCATCTTTACGGTTAAAGCTTGAAGAAGAAGACTCCATTTTTGTGTGTTAAAAAAAGGGGCATTGTAGATCTAGAAATCTTGCTTATCTTCTTGACATTTGTACGTATAAAGCTCCCAACTTTCCTTCTTATATGATATATCTAGTTAATGGTCCATTTTTATGCTTTTAGTCATATTTTGGTGGTGAACTTGGAGTAGTGATGACTCTAGCTTCTTCTAAGCACTTAAAATTATTAATTAGACCATCTGGATTCAAAAAGTTGGCATCTTAGAGTTTGTTCTCTTAGCCATGCAAAGTAGGTTGTCTTTTGGGCCCTTTTTTATATTCAAGATTAGATCTTGTTATTGGGTGCATATTAATGGATAAATCTTGAAGCTTTATCTGTTTGGACATTGTGGGAGCTCAGATCTAGAAGTTAGAGTCCTCAGTTAATGGATTAAGACAAAATCCCTTGAAGAATTAACCTGAGTGTTGTGTTCTTTTCCAGAGCGCGGGGCACTTTTAGGGTTTTCAGTTTGTGCGCTTGTTTGGCTTGTACAGTAGACTGTTTTGTCCTATAGTGAGCGCATAAAGCTCTTTGAAAGGTGTGGTGTGCTTTTTTACCAGAATGTAAATTTTGTTGACTTTTAACTAAAATGTGACTTTTGGTCAAACTTCAGGGTTTTGGGTCATAGTCTGATATTGACCTCTAAGTACATGTGTAGGTGGTTTTGTGTCTACCTACAGTGAGTTGTAGAGGTTTTCTGCTTTGTCAGTGAGGTGAATATTTTTACCGTGTTACTTATATCATATGTTGTACGTGAGCTACTGATAGCTCGGGTTGCTGATAAACCAAATTTTTGTATGTGAGCTACTGATAGCTTGGGGATGCAAATAACCCAAATTGTTGTATATGAGCAGCTGGTAGCTTGGGGTTGCTGGTAACCCATAATTGTTTTATATATTTAGTTGTGTTGTGTTGTATGTGATTCTTTGGGGAACTCACTAATCTTTGGCTTACAGTTGTAGATTAAAATGTTTCAGGTACTTCTGAGGATCGGGACAATGCAAAGGCGTGATTGTACACACTCTTTAGTTGTTCTTATGATTTTCGAGAGATGTTTTGATATGATACTCTAATATTGGATTTATGTTGTGGAACAAATAATTTGATGATGTTTGGTTTATGAAAAGGGTTTATTTCCCTTTTTAATTTTGAAAAATTTTATCATGGTTTTTGGGACGTTACAGAGTTAGAGAGGGAAAAAGGAAAAAACAGATAGAAGAAAGAGAGAGCTAGAGAGAAGGTTTTTTTCTCTCACTTGTGAAGGATCGTAGCCACAATTACACGAGGTCACACTTATGCAATATGGGGGTGGTGTTGGAATGCATGTAACACGAAAGTTGGAATGCACAATGGTTAACATTGCCAAGTCACCTAACGCGTAAGTTGGAGATGCACCCCGTATAGACTTATGAATACATGATATTGCATTTCCTATAAATATTATCCTACAAAGTAGAAGAATAATTTAAATTTGATACGCTACTAAAATAACGACTTCTTTTTTTCGATAAAACATTATTTGCAAAAGAAAAAAAAAAAAACACTACTAGTGAAGGACTCCGTAGACAACGTAACAAAGGTAAAAGGGGAAAATGACAGAAACACCATATAATGTTTCCAAAGTTGGTTAATTCAGTCCTTAAAGTTATTTTCTGGCTTTATGAGGGTATACGGTAGGTTACGACCTGCTCTTTTAGTCACTTCAACCTGTAATAACCGGTACACCATGCGATATGTGACCATTAGGACCCGACAAAACTCACATTATGCCCTTATAAAGCCAAAAAAAGTTCGGGAATCATTTAAACGAAAACTCAAAAACACGCATTAAAAACCTTTTGCATTCTCTATGTGGAAGATACACAAAATAAGTAATATACATATTTTTTCATTAGGAAGTTTAAGCAAAGACATCAAAACATACATATATAGAAAAGGATCGAAGCATGCAACTATCTACTTCATGCGCCAGTTATCCATCTGCTTTACTAATCGGGAAGGTTCTTGATTGTTTTCTTGCAGGAAACGATGGAGTCTACAATCTTCTCCTACATGGCGATCGAGGCATCTATTATGGCGGCGTCAGTTTTTTTTCCCTCCTTACATATGATGGTGTTCATGAAGGTTGGGGTGGTTGGGAGGTTGTCGATTATATAATGTTTGACATCGTAGTACTCTTCGATTTCTTGGTGTATTGCTATGATGGACTTGTTGTTGTATTCTAGTTGTGGATGAGGGTTTCGAGAACATTTTGCATCTAGGAGGACTTCATTTTGTGTTTTGTGATAAAATGTGGGTGAAAAGGGTGTGGGTATGAGCGTTATATAGGCGCCTGGATGTGAGTTGCTAGAGCATTTACTGTGGTTGCTTATGATCATCCGATTTTGGTGTAATGGATCGAGACTCGATTTGTCAGCAGGTGCGTCAGTAGACGAAATGATGGTAAGTAATGGTGTACATTTAAGTTTTGTGGTGTGTATGTGTTAGTAATTATTCTTTTTTGGGAACGGGTGAATTTGGAAGCTGATGCGATAGATTGTTTATTGGGTTGCTGGATTTGGTTTACTTGTATTGTTTTTCAATGGTTTTGTATAGGTTTGTAAATATATGTGCATGCAAAGGTCTAGTTTTAATGATGATGGGCATTATTCATCTCATAAGCTTGATTAACCAAATACAAATGAAGAGTATGAATTCAATGTGTTTAGCTATGCTTACCAGATATTTTAATTTTTTTACAATAAATCAGATTCACAACTGGATATCTATTCACATGTATTGAATTTTACAAGACTACAACAAGCGTTTCATATGATAAATACACAATCATATTATATATGTACGGTGTACATGGAGATTTCCAGAGGGTGACATAAACTCAAGGTTCTAAAAAGCTCGCTATAGCGCACCATGACTCCAAGGGTTGTACATTCCGCTAAACTTTACAAAAAACGCGTCTTAACTCATATATGTGTATAAAATTGAATAGTAGTTGAAAATACATATAAAAAATATTAATTATATACAAAATTGCCGCCTGAAATCACGTCTTACAAACGTCATGGCTCGCCAAGGCTCAGAAAAGCTTGAGGCTTGACATTTTTGCCAAGTCACGTCTTATATTATTTAGAACCTTGCATAAACTTTATTCTTCAAGACTATGAAATCGATGTAAAATAAGTGTTGGTTTTTAGTATGTGTTTTGGTTTAAATGATCCCCAAACTTTTTGTTTTTGTTTTTTTGTTTTTTTTTTTTTTTTTTTTTTGACTTTATGAGGGTTATAAGGTGAGTTTTGTTAGGTTCAAAATGGTTACATGTCACATGACATATCCGTGTATTAAAGGTTAAAAAGACTAAAAAGCATGCCATAACTCATAACTTATTGTATACCTTATAAAATCATAAAATAACTTTAGACACTGATTGACATTATAAAACATTATATAAGCGTTTGTGTCATTCCCCAAAGTAAAATTATAATTTACAATGCGCCACATAATAATTTTGTAACTTAATCTTTCATTTGATTTTTATATTAACATTTACCGTCCCTTCTAGGCTTCTACAACCCACCAATCAAAAAAATTCAGAGAGGGACTCCGCCACCGGTACCTCCTCCTTCCGCCACCGGACTGCTTCATTAGGTAAGTTGCCTTTTATCCCCTTATGACAACTATTTCAGCTTATCCAACAATAACTAAACATTAAAGGTATAAAAAAAATGAAAATAAAAGAGCAGCTGTTCAGTCAAGAACATTAAACCCAACCGTATATTTAAGTCTAAAAGGCTAAAACTCTGAATTCAGAGTAATTTTTATGGGGTTGGCTAACATCCCTGATGCTTCTTTATTCTTTGTTCAGTCAATAATGAATTTTAGCAATGGAGATAAAGCTTCCTTCTTCAAGATATTACTAAATGACTCGGTAGACTACCTTGTGAGTCCATCTCTTTCCTTCTCTCTCACACACCATTTTCGTTGCTTGTAATCACACATACCTTCAGTTATTCGTCATATTTTGCAGACATTGCCGACTGCTTTTGCGAAAAAGTTTTTGGAAAAGGGCAACAACAAGAAACAGACACTTGTTCTCAAACCCAAATCAGCTGTCAAATGGATTGTGAAATACTCAAAGAACGAAGACAAACACTACTTTAAGGATGGATGGCTCAAATTCGTTAAGGACAATCTTCTTCAAGTGGGCGACTTTCTTGTCTTCTGGCTTCTCTCTGCTTCTCCAAACTCAACCTTTCAGGTCTTCTTCTATGCACCGAATGGTTGTCTCAAACACCCAGTTAGTTCTTCACGTAGTTTCCGTTCGATACTGCCGACTGCCGATCGCCGCCTATTGTTGGTGGACAAAGTGACAGCTGAGGTGATGCATGGAGGTGCAGGTGATGGGATGATACGCTGCGTGAAAGAAGAAACCAGTAATAATCATGACGATGACGATGATGATTCCCTGCAAAAGGTGCACAAGTCGATAAGGAAGGTTCTCCGGAAATCCTACCTTCATCAATTGGTAATTAATTAATTAATTAATTAATGCATTTTTAATCGAAAAAAAAAATCCAACATACTTGCACTGTTTTTTTAAAATACACAGAAGACATTGTTTTTACTATTTAATATAACATACTATCATTTTTTTATGATATTTATGTAAAATTTATGTAATATCTAAGGTGATACTTAAATAAAAATATAGAAAATAAATATATAATACATTGAAAAATATATACTATTTAGCAAGAATTAATAAAATAGAGCAAACATGTTGAATTTATTATTATTATTATTATTATTATTATTATTATTATTTTGCATTTAGCCTTTATTGTATAATAAGATTAATTGCAAAAAAATGCAAAACAGTTTCACAAGTTTATCAATCACTGAAACATATTTTTATCAACTGTATTTAATATAACAAAGTTATCAACTTTTAACCATCTTCTACAAAAGTTTACATAAAACGGTAAGTTTTTGTTAGTATATAAAATGTTTAAAAAGTACCTATGAATTAATCTGAAAGTATATATACTTCAATTTTTTTTTTTCAATTACCCCTTAGTTATGTAATTAGTAATATGTTTTCTTGGAGAATTTAATGGAATGTATGTATATGTACGGCAGCCGATGACAATGACTTTTTGGAAAGCCACCAGACTGAATAGGTACGACAGTGTGCGTCTGAGGACCAACGAAGGGAAGATCTGGAAAGTGGGGGTAAGTAAGTACGGAAAGATAAACTTCCCAAACCTAACAAGAGGATGGTACGATTTCTGGAAGGGTAATGACATAAAGAAGTGTAATACACTTCAGTTTACTCATGTGAAAGGCAACCTGCTTCATGTGCATGTGATCAAGAGGCACAAAGGAAGAACCATCAACAAGAAAAGATCGTAATCATGAAGTTGAAGAATCAATCTTAGAATTTGAACTTACTTCGATGTGTTTTTGAACTTTATTATCTATTTAACTAGAAAGTTGGACGCTAGAATTAATTTCAAAGATGTTTGCCTTGTTATGGGAAATTTTGTTCGGTGGACTTTAGTTAATCCCAAAGACTTATTGGACTATCAAATGGCCATTGATTCGAGCACATGCACTTAATCGATCAAATTATTGATTCGAGCACATGCACTTCAGCACTCAATGAATCAAATTGTTGTATACCAAGGAAAAAACTTGTGTACTCCTATCTATTAATTATCTTAGACAAAAGGTCTATGTGGTTTCTCATATATAATCCTTAATTTTAAAAAACTTTATAGAATGTTTTTCAATTTATATAATAGTTGTCTCGCACCCTATCTAAAAAAAAACTTTTATATCATTTTCTTGTTATAATTAATTTTAACTAAACCTTAAAAAAAAAACAAAATAAATAATGGCTCTCTCTCTCTCTCTCTCTCTCTCTCTCTCTCTCTCTCTCTCTCTCTCTCTCTCTCAAATGCAAGAGCCAAACAGTCTTTTGTTGCTCCTTCACATATTTGACCCCATTGTCGTTGATTTGTTGCTGACCTCGTATCATCCACGCCGAAGTTCATAAACTCCTGTAATTTCCCTCAGCCGCCATAAGCAAAAAACTAATCCATCGATTTTGAACTAAAAATTAGAACCAAAATCTAGAGTCGTTTTCTATGAGAAGATGATAGGTTGTAGATGATGATCAGAACATGGGTTGTGTGAAAACGAAGGTGGAAGTATTGTAATGACGATGGACTTGTGATCGTTGTAGGTATTAGAGAAAACGATGAACAATATTTTACACGCATTAAACGAGATAGGTAAAAAAATTTGGAAAAAACAGATAAACTTGGGATGGGTGTAGAGACTAGGGTTGTAAACGAACTGAACCAACATGAACAAGGGTTTGTTCATGTTCGTTCATTTGACAAATTCCTTGTTCATGTTTGTTCGTGAAAATGTTAAACGAACATAAACGAATAAAGATAAACATACACAATTGAACAACATATATTAACATAAACGAACATCTAATATTGTAATTTAATAAAGAAAATAATTGAACATATATGAACATAAATAAATTTAAACGAACGAACATAAACGAACGTAAATAAACGTTTATGAACATAAATTAACGAACGAGATCATTGTTCATGTTCGTTCGTTTAATTAAGCGAACGAGAATTTGTGTTCATATTTGTTCATTTATTAAATAAACGAACATAAACAAACTTCTCGCTGAACGTTCAGTTCATTTACATCCCTAGTAGATACGATGAACAACCATTGACTTTTCCTAAATTTGTTAGGGTGATGGTGTCTAGCTGCCAACAGGTTGGTGTTGTTTGTTGTGAGGAACGAGGTGGTACACACATCAGTCACCTTTTTAAATATTTTTATAAGTGTTTTCTATGAATTTTTTTTAAGTTAGGGACTATATCCCGGATCCTAGGAACCACATCGACAATTTATGAATTTTTGTCATTATCTTATAATGAATATATATATATATATATATATATATATATATATATATATATATATATATATATATATATATATATATATATATATATATATATACGCTTAGATTATTGTATTCTATCTAATTATTTTATGGATGTAGGAATGATTGTGAGTCAACCATTTTATTTATTTTAATAAAGTGATTAATTTATATTATTGAATTAAATATAATTGAAACTTATCATCTATATAGATTTAATAAAGGAAAATTGCATATTTTAAGGAATCATAGATTCTATTAATTTTAAAAATTCAATTTTACGAATTATAATTCTTTTAATTCGGACATTTTAACAGAATATGTTTATTAGTATATTCAAAAATAAAAATATTCTTGAACAATAAATTAATAAAAATATTGTTGAACCTATTTCTTGATCATGACTTTAAAAATTTCTTGTAGAATAACAAATTCTCGAACCATCAATTGAAAAATAAAAACAAAAATTACATTAATTCTTATAGAATATGTGTAACAATTGCTAAGAATTACATTTATCGTTAAAGAATAAAACTAAAAAAACTTTCAAATTGGGAAAAAAACATCAAAATAACAAAGACACTAATACATTCTAAAAGAATAATGTTGTTAAGAATCACTTTCAATTTTGTTGTCCGTTCTTCAAGCATCAACTTCTATGAAAATAAATCCAATTTTAGTTTACAATCCAATAACGCATAAGCAAATGAAAAATAAAAAACTAAATTGCTTTCGAAAAATATGTGGACTTGTGAATTGCACCAAAACAAATGACCAAGAATTGTAGAACATGCATAAATTAGTGAGAAAATATACATATTCCATTCCAACAGAATTGAAATTCGTGATTCAATTCTGATAGAATTGGAATCCATGATTCCATTCTGATAGAATTGGAATTGTAGAAAATACACAAATCACAGATGAAATATCGAGATTTAATTCCCACAGAATCGAAATTCGTGATTCCATTATGACATATTTGAAATTCAAAGATTCAATTCTGGCAAAAACATTGCTTACAACATGTATTTAATTCTTCATGATATTTAATCACATAAACACAACCACACTCATATATTCACATAGAATCAAAACCTGTAATGCTTATTCAAAATTAATAAATTCACTTCGTATAAAACTAACCCAACGTTCTAGCTATGTATTTGAATCAATCTTCAACAAAATCGTTTTTAGAAAGAAAAAAGAACATGTAATATTAAATTACCATTATGATTATGATATTAATTATCACAACATTTGCAGTAGGTTAAAAAAAAGAGTAAACACCATACGATTTTTTGGTTTCTTAGTGATATTTTTTAGTTTTTACTATTTATAAGAAAACTTTAATAATAATTTGAACAAATTGTATTAACTTTTTAAAAAGTTGGGCACTACACAAACAGGAGGCGTACCTCCATGGATTTAATTATTATGTAAATAATAAAAATACTCTATGTAATCAGTTATGGGTAAAGGAAAAACAAGAAATGGGTAAATTTCAAACCTTTGGATTTACTGCAAAATTAGTTGTTTCATGAAGCAATCCATCAATATCTCAAAATATCATACCCAACTGCTAGTTTGTTCGTCAAATAGGGAGGTAGCGTTGTGAATGGCCGACGATTAGGGGAAGACAACGTCAACAAAAGCAGCTCCGGCGACGATATAAGCTGAAAGAGATGAATAGTCACCAGAGATGATGAAATACTCACCGCAAAAGCTTGAAACCGCCGCTCCCACCATGGATTTCTATGCCTTTTCTCGATCGAACAAGCGTGCGCCGACTTGTCGTGAGGGGAATGGATTTAACCACGTGATTTTGGGGAGACGGATAAGAGGGAGATGTGAGGGGAATAGCGATGGCGGGCGTTCGATCTGTCTCACACTTCAACTTGGAGCTAGGGTTAGGGAGGATATCGGTAATTTTGAATGGGATAGAATACAGTGAGTTTTTGATAGTTTTAAAAAGGATAAAGGTTGGTCAAAGTAATTACCATAATTATAAGAATGTATTTGTAGAAATTATTTATCAAATTACTAAATTACCCTCATTTATTTGTTTGATTATTTATTTATTTTATTAATTTTTGATTGGTCCACAATCAACCATACATCCACACAATAATTAGTTAGAATACCTGAATCTACCTTTCTCTCTCTCTCTCTCTCTCTATATATATATATATATATATATATATATATATATATATATATATATATATATATATATATATATATATATATATATATATATATATATATATATGCGTGTGTGCGTGGCACCTATTTTCATGACATGTACTATTCTAATAAATGTAATGACCTAAAAACCTCATATTGTTTGTTGCCGTATGTATTTGGTATAACTATGATTTGGGGTGGACTTAAAATAGTGAACTTATGGTAATTATGTGATGCAATACGTAAGTTCTTATACTTAATGTGTTGTATTACAAAATAAGTAGAGTAAACCAGGACATTGTGAAGAATCAAAGAATCGAGTATAAAATGAATTAGAGTATAGAATCAAGTAAGAATGCGAAATTGAACACCGGATGTAAATATGATCTTGTTTCAGCTCTATTACGCTTTCGAATGTTTACAGAGTACAAAGACAGGTCTGTAAAAACTCTTATCTAACTCTAGTAAATATCCCTATTTATAGGGAACAGAAAGCGTACAAAAAATATACTAAGGCATAGACACTGAAGTTTCGAATAAAAGCGCCTTAGTAAAATACATTACAAAACATTCGAAGAGGCAAAATATATTTCGACTAATTACAACATTTTAACCCTTACAATCTCCCCCTTTGTAATCATAGTCGAACATCTTAATTCGTAAGAAGCTGGATGGAATACAGCATCACTCTTCGAATTTCCGTGTACCAGGAAATAATCTTCTTAAGCTCTTTCTTATCTCCTTCATTGTTCTTCTTACAATAATTCATACGAACAATTAAGTTCGTATATTGAGACGTTGAATACCTTTCCACTTCGCATGCCTGGAACAAGAAACGTTTTGCTTTTCCAGCTTTGTCTTTTCCTGCGAAGACCATTCCAAAAGGCTTCAAGCAAATTTCACCATCAGCATACTTCTTCAATTCTGTCTGAGTCTTCGTAGGAGCCATTGGAGCTTTAATTTCCATACCTTTAGCCGTAGCTAACTCCACATCAGTTAGAGCCAAGCACTCATAATAATTTTCGATGAAAATCTTGATGTGAGCAACCCCAAGCTTAAATTCTTCAGGTTCCGTGTTTTGAAGATATGAAAACGATTTGTCTTTCAGAATCAAAGCAACTTGTATAAGATCATACAGGTTCATTAATGGAAAATCTGCAATAGTAAATTCGCAAATATTTCCATTTGCCCTGGCAACCACATACTTGATATTTTGGACTGTGTTTTCGAAAACCACATC